CATTATCACATAATAATGTTTACTTCCTTGTACTGACCTGTCATTATCACATAATAATGTTTATATCCTTGTACTGACCTGTCATTATCACATAATAATGTTTACTTCCTTGTACCTGACCTGTCATTATCACATAATAATGTTTATATCCTTGTACCTGACCTGTCATTATCACATAATAATGTTTACTTCCTTGTACCTGACCTGTCATTATCACATAATAATGTTTACTTCCTTGTACCTGACCTGTCATTATCACATAATAATGTTTACTTCCTTGTACCTGATCTGTCATTATCACATAATAATGTTTACTTCCTTGTACCTGACCTGTCATTATCACATAATAATTATTACTTCCTTGTACCTGACCTGTCATTATCACATAATAATTATTACTTCCTTGTACCTGACCTGTCATTATCACATAATAATGTTTACTTATTTGCAGATGACTTTTTATTATCACATGTATGGCACTGATATAAATACGCTGAAAGTCTTTACCAAAGAGTATGGTAGTATGGCTGTAGAGCAAGTATGGGACCAGCCAGGTGCACAAGGCAATGTATGGCTGGAAACAACTGTTAATTTTTATAATATGCAGCCATTTCAGGTATTATTATCATTAGTTATGTCCCCTGACTCAACAATGAAATATAAAAAGTATGTTGTTCCATAATCTGTAAAATAACATATTTCATGCAGCTATTAATCAATGTGTAATTACACATTATCAACTTTTATTCTAATCTTTTCTAGTGTATTGTCTAAGTGTGTGGGTAATAACAATTAGCAATTACCAGGCTGTTTTAATAAAACTTGGTACATCATCTGTTTGTGATTTTGAGAACCTATTTGCATGAGTACTAGCATAACAATAGTATCAGTGAGAACCATTGAACATATAATTGGTCATATCCTTTGCTGAATAGTGATTTCTTAGTATAAACACATAAGTTATGATGCATACTTGTTGACACTTCTTAGATTCACTGTCATTGAAAAGCAGAGCTGTTCATGTATGTAATTTTCCATCAACATCTGCGTCAAGTTTTGCTTCATGGGAAATTACCCTGTAACATGTACTACATACTGAATATTGAGACTAGCAATTCATGTTGGTTTTTTTGTTAGTAGATATAATGTAACAATTTCAAAATTTTATATACAAGATGACTGAATATCAATAATTTTACTGTTAAAAACTCATCGTAATCTAGCATCAGCTTTTGGATCCACATCTCTGACATGTTTATGTTATTACTATATTACTATATTATTTTAAGTTTGATAACTAACGGGGACTATGCCATGCATGGCTTGTTACTATTAATCCTAACCTCTACTTTGTAGGTACTTATTGAAGCATCTTGTGGCGATGGTGTCTATGGGGATATTGCTATTGATGATATCTCATTCTCTGAAGGTTGCTACAAAGGAGGTAAAATCATTCTACCAAACACTATCCTATGTCAGAATGTTATATAACCAATTTTATTTAGCAACAAATTTGTTGTGATGGAAGCATTGACAATCTTACCAAGGTTTATTAAGGCAAAGATTGCATGATGGCTTCTGTGAAATAAATACTATAAAGTTATCAAATCTTGATTCACAGATTTACCTGGTGGTTTCTATGTAAATTGACAAAAGAAACTAAATATACATACTGTTCTTCAGATTACAAGTAGTTAGTAAAAACGATTTGAGCAGCTTTGTACCCACTTGATTTATGAAATCTAAATGAAATTTATTATGCTACAAGTGTGCACTAAATAAGTTTAAGGATGAGTTAAGTTGGTGGCGTAAGATTGCATGACCAGAATATTGTATGACCCTGAAATGTGCATTACTAGTTGCATTACAACAGTGATGAATTCATTTTTTGAAGGGAGCTGATCTAATCATAATACTTCAATTGCAGTGGAAGGCAAAATACGGCTGATAGACTCAAACTCTTTAAATGAAGGAAGAATTGAAATATTCCATGACAATGTCTGGGGCACTATATGTGGGTACAATGAAACTTGGCAGGATGAAACAGATGGTTTGGTTGTGTGTCGTCAACTTGGTTATCAAAGTGCAGCTGCATCTCCACCTTTACCAGCCGATGATAGTGTTCCTGTTCATCTAGACAACATCCGATGTGAAGGAACTGAGGAGCTTTTAACTGATTGTCGAAACAACGGCTGGAATGTCAGTCATTTGTATTGTAGTTTTCATCTTGATGATGTCACAGTGAAATGTACAGGTTGGTTAAATATCTATAGAATGCATTCATTTTCTGAGTGATTTATTATGTTATCCATAGACAGCCACAATATGACATTTGTATTGGGAATAGAGGTACAATATGTTTTCGCATTTAAACAATTTAATAAAAATCACAATACAATAATTTTAGTTAATAATAGTTACCGTAGAGACAAAGTCTGAAAATTCTTCCATGTTTCAGTCTTACTTACCCATACATTAGCTGTATATGCATGACAAGTTACTAAGAAAAATGGTCAACTGGCAATCACTTAGGACAAAAAAATATATCTATAATCAAAAGACGATTTGAATCAAACTTTGTTTGATGATTATGCTTACTGGATTAGATATTTTGAGATATTTTTTGGATATTCAGACAAAAATGATGTGTTGTTTTGTGATTTGATCAAATATGTTGAATATGCCAGCCCATTTCCTTTGATATATATTATATGTAGGTGGACCTCTATCAGATTTGCTTAGTTTGCAATGGTATAATAATTCTCTATTTTTTTTCAGATTTGTTCATTCCATTATGTATCATTAATTCCCAATTTTTAGCAAATATTATTGTCTTTTTGGGGGAAAAATGCTATTTTTGACTTTTTAAAAACTACCAGCCCAACTACTGTGTTACATGGTATGATTTAAAATGTAACAAGATTATAGAAGTTGTTAATGTCATGGTAACATCCACCCAGTGAATGTTGTGTAATGCAAAGAACATGGTGGTAACAATAGAAATGGCAAATAGCAACATACTATCAACTTTGTTTTGAGTAAGACACTCTGAAAAGACAGCACAGTATCCATGCTAGTTTCTCCGGAATATAATGACTGATTCTATGTAATGTTGGTAGACATGAGTATATCTACATGTATGTCTACATGTGATTGACTATAGATAGTACCAAATAGTGTTGATCAAAATTATTGGTATTTGTAAAAAACTTTGTAAAAAAAATAGCAAACAAATTGTAGGTGTTGTCTTTTTCATTTTTCACAACTTTCGTAATAATTAAGCTGTACAATACATACAGTTGTCCATGATACAACTTATAGAAGTTTATTGCTTTTCTTGCAGACATGGCACCACCAATCTGCCATGAAGGTTATTTTACCTGTGCTAATCAAAACTGTGTTGTTCCACAGCAGCTTTGTGATTACAATGATGACTGTGGGGATTACTCTGATGAGGAACCATCACTGTGTGGTAAGAAACTACATTACATTGACAGATGACAGCTAATATTCACACTTTAAGAACATACATTGAACATAATAACACAGTTTATCAGTTTGGATTAAAATGGTCAAGTAACAGAAATTTCACTTTAATAAGTGTTTCTGACACTTGATGAAC